ACTACATCTGCAAGACCTGATTTCCAAGTAAGGTCCCATTTACAGGTACCAGGGATTAGGACCTGAACATACCTTTGTGGAAAGCACAATTCAATCCTCTACAGACAGCTTCGGGCCATACTCTCCTCCACCTCTACCCAGCTCACTCCCAGAAAGCCCCAGATATATTGTAAGAACTTTCATAAATGCCACAATGTGCCCCAAGCACAACAATCCAAAAATAAATAAATAAAGCCCCAAACAAGGCAAGAAGAAGCCTAACTGGGCCACTACATGTCCCACCCTGGGCTGAGGGGTACAGGGGCAAAATTTTCAGGGCCTTGAAAATGCTTAAAGTTTATAGAATCGAGACTCAAGAGTCAAACAGAGAATCATGAACCGTTTGACTCAGTCCCACTGTGCTCCGAAGTGTAACCAGCAGACCAAGATGGAAGGATCCAGATGAAACGCAACTGCATCAGAGATGGCGCCAAAGAACAGAGAGACCTGGATGTGTGGGAGGAGGGACAGGAACAGCCTCTGACAGGGTCAAGCAGGGTTAATGCAATCCTAACACACGGGACTTGCACAGTGGTAACTTTGGGGGCTTAATATTTTGGAGAGCCAACTTTTTCTGAGAGAGGGAGAAGACGGGCAAGTGATCATGGTCCGCTGGCTACTTTGTGGTCAAGCCACCAAACATGTCTGAAAAAAGTGCTCAGAGAGAATCCTAGAGGCCGCTCTGTGGGTTCCACCAGACCAGAGTTGGCTCTTACCGAGGCAGTTCCTAGAGCCTGGAAATGGTCAGGGCTGGTAGGAATCCAAGGTCACAATGACTGATGTCCCCATCATTAGAGGGAGAAACTTACAATAAGGAATGTGTTAGCACACATCTTCTACCTCCCAGAGGCCATAACATTGGGGCAGGGGGTTAGTCTGTTTTTACTTCCACCTCTGAAACTGGCAGCTAACAAGATGGCTTTTTGGTAACAATGTTACTACTCCATGAATACACCTCTACCTCAAGGTAAGTTCTAATTCAACTAATTTTGGTTATAGCTTAAAAAAAAAAAACAACACGGGAATCATTTGCTCTCTTTGCTGCTTCTCTAGCTCTTCTTTAAGCATTTTGATTTTTCAGCTGTGTAATCTCAAGCAAACACTTATCCACAGTGTGCCTGCATTGGGCCAGACCCAGGACACAGATGAACAAGACACTGACATAGCTTTTGGGAGTCATGGTGAGGGAGAGAGAAGTCCACAGAATGTTCCAAAATTATGGCAGGAATGGAGGGAATCCAGGAAGGCTTCTTGGAGGAAGGAGTGCCTGAGCCAAGGGATGAAGGGCGAGTGGGAAGTAAGGGAATTCTAGGCCAAAGACCAGCTGGATCCTGGAGCAGAAATTGAGGAGGACTTGGATTTGGCTGTTCTAAAGGATCCAGAATTGGAAGTGGCTGGGGCCGAGGCAAATCAGACAGTCAGGTGAGATGTATTAAAGGATGCAGCTTGAGCAGTGTAATTGGCTATTCTTGCCAGCACGGCAAGAATGGTGAGAGGCTTTACCTGGGCAATTGGATGAGGGAGGGGGCGGATGGGCTGAGAAACACTTGAGAGGTAAAGTCAGCAAACTCTAGATTGGTGGTCAACGTGAGATGAGGACTGGGGAGCCTAGGATGCGAGTCAGGCAGGCGGATGTTCAGGTTGCTAACTGCTGTGGATCAGGATCACCAGGACCACTCCACATGCAGCCTTGAAAACAGGAAGTTAACACATGGAAGAACCTCCCTGAGATGCCAACTAGAGAACGGTGGGCGACCCAGAAACCAGCAGGGAACGGTCACCATCTCTAGAATGGAGGGACAAAGGGTGGGGGCTGCGTGGCAAGTCTGGGAGGGGACGCATGAGGGCTGCATCCATGGCCACATTCCAAAGCAGAAGAGGATGAAGGGAGTGTAGGCCCTGCCCTTCCCTCTGCCCTCCAGTCTGGGCAGTGCCCAGTGGCCCGACCCACCTGGAAGCCACAAGGAGCCCGTGCTGGCCCTGCTGTGACACATTGGTGTGAATGTTGGTACACTGCCCAAACGGGCAACAGGACAGGAAAAGAGAGGAAGCCTCAGGGAAGGAGGATGTGTTAACTTCTGAACATGGCTAGTTTGAGGTGTCCTCGGGAGGTCAGGGGAAGCTGCCCAGCCAGCAGGCAGGTTCCACGGATGAGTGGGAGGGAGGGAGATTTGGATTTCACACAGGTAAAACTTTGCACAGTAGTTACGGGAATGAGTACGCTAATTCATCAGGCAGCTGCTTGTTTTACTTGTAATAGAAACATTCAGATTATTTTCCAAAATGCTGGCACCAGACGGTCCTACTAATTGCTCCTTATTTTCACCAACATTTTGTCTTTGTAGGCTTTTTTTTTTTTTTTTTTTAAGGCAAAGCCTTGCCATGTAGCCCAGACTAGCCTTAAACTTGAGCTCCTCCTGCCTCAGCCTGCAGGTGAGCCCTTCACACCTGACCTCAATGTGGCTTTCATTTGCATCTGTCTGGGGACCTTTGAGATTAGCACTTTAGACTTCTGTGTTGGCCCTCAGGAAATTCTACTCTGAAAGCTTTTATGAGGGAATTTGAAACGGGGTGGAGGGGGGATGGGAGTGTGGGTGGTGGAAGGGCTCCCCCAGCTTCTAGGTCTGTTTCCATTCCTAAGCTGTGCAGGCCTCTCAGGCAATTCCTCTGCCATCTCGTAAAAATTTATAAATGTCTGTGAGGGCCTCAGCTCAAGGTGCGAACTTGGAACCTGGCAGACCTAGGTACAAACCTTCACTTCCCCACTTCTTGCTGAGCCCTCCCATACTTAGTTTTCTCATCTGTGAAGCGGGTTTGGTGGCATATTTTGTGGGGTTGCTATGAGGCCTTAACCACACCATGATGGGGAAGCGGCCAGCTTGGTGTCTGGTACGTAACATGAGCTTGGCGGTGGAAGCAAATGTCGGTTTTGTAATTAGAAGAATTAAGGGGATTATGTAGGTCATTGTTTTTTTCCCAGTCAAGGAAAGTGAGGCCAAGTAAGCTAAAAGTAGTGTCCAGAGCTAATTCCCACAGTGCTGGGATAAAAACCCAGGTCCCATTCCCCTGCATCTTACCAACTCCCTACCAGCTGGAAACTCATGCAGTGCCTCACACAGTGAATTACTCAGGGACACACTGTATCAGGTCTAGAATAGATCTTTTTAATAGTTGCCTTGGAGATCTCAATCTAAAACTCTTACGGGAGCATTCCTAGAGACAGGGCATAGTCTTCATCTCAGGCTAATAAGGTTTTCTTTATGCTTGCTTGCTTTTTAAAAAAATACTTGCAACCCTGGTGTGGTGTCACATGCCTGGAACCCCAGCTATGCAGGAGGTACAGGCAGGAGGATGGAAGTTTGAGGACAGTCAGGGCAAAAAGTTCTCAAGGTCCTATCTCAACCAGTGGCTGGGCAGGGTGGCACACACGTGTCATCTCAACTACTGGGGAAGCACAAATAGGATTGCCATCCAGCCCTGCCCTGGCATAAAGAGAGACCCTATCTAAAAATTAAAGCCAAAAGTGCTGGGGAGGGGGATGAAGGGACTTTTCTCAAGTGGTAGAGCACCTGCCTAGCAAGAGTGAGGGCCTGAATTCAACCCCCAGTATGGTCCCTAAAAAATAAAAATCAAAACAAAAATGAAAGAAATAAAAACAAAAAGGGCTGGGGGTATAGCTCAAGTGATACAGCAGTTACCAACCATGCACCAAGGCCCTGGATTCAATCCCCTGTACTGAAAACAAAACAAAGCAAAAACCCAGCAACCAAGCAAATATAAGGTGAGTTTTCTCCAATGCAGTCCTGCTTTAAGATCTGTGGGGTAGGGCATGGAGATAGGCCTTAAGTTGTTTACCTGTGATCTCACCCTACTCATCATTCCTGTCCTACTGTCCGTCAAGTTAAGACACAACGGACAGAACTGCATGTACAAGTTCCCCCTTCTGGAATACTGCTTCTGCCGTCAGTCCGAGGACCACTCTCTCCACCTGCTTGGGGAGTGCAGAGGAGGTCTTTTGCTTCAGGTCAAGGGAAGTTTTTCTTTTAATATTGCAAAAGCAATAGTGTTTATAAATATTCAAGCAAGACCTTCATATACAGTTGTGCGGAATGACGCTTTGGGGGAGCAGGCTGAGTTAGAGAATTGAGCAGGGACCTGCAGAGACTTCAAAGATCGGAAGCCCAAACTCCCTGATCACTTCACCCCAAGAGCCATCTCCCTGGCACTCCATGCTCCTTGGTTCGCCACTTCGCACTGCGGATCGCTTGGCCTTTTGCCCTTGGGGCATCCGCCGGGAGTCAAGGCGAGCCAACGCTCCCGCGCGAGCCCTCGAAGCGGAAGTGACGGTGCCTCACGCGCTCTGCGAGAACTGCATGGGACCACAGCTTTGGATGCCCGGCGACTTTCGCTCTGCGCGCTTGCGTCATCACGTACGCAGGCGAGGCCCTGGAACAGGAAGGTGACGTATGCGGCGCGTGAAGCGGCAGTGGGCGTGTCCAGAGAGCGGAGCCGCTGTTAGCCCCACCTCTTAAAGCCACCCGGCCCTCTCAGTGCCGGCGCCGTGCGGCCGCTGGGCGCTGCGCCTTTAAATGTCGTGGTGACACGTGTGTGAGACGCCGGAGACCCGGATGGTGCGCGTGCAGGCCCGGACCCGAGCAGACGCCAGCGCCGCGCGGCCTGCGGCGGGGCTTCGGAGGGGCCGCATAGGCTGAGGCCAGGTGGGGCGGCCCGCATAGGAGCTTCCGTGGAACCCGGGGCGCCGGAAGGTGCAGCGGGGCATTCGCGGGGTGCTCGGGGAAGACGCGGTCCGCAGAGGTCCTAGGGATTCCAAGAGGAAGGGCGGGGGTACCCCAGGGAGGGCCAGGGGATGTGCTGTCCGCACAGGGGTCTGAGGTGTCTCTAAAAAAAGGGATCTGGGGTCGCTTCGTTTGCGCAGGGACTTGCGTGACCCCGGGGAGGCTCGGGGATGCGCTGTCGGAGCAGGGATCGGAGGTGTCTCCAAGAAGGGGTCCGGGCCGCGCGGTGCTGGGTCACGCGTGACTGCTGTCCCCGCAAACCCCAGCGGGGGTAGGGCAGAGCTGGCCTCAATCGGGAGTCCAGGGGTGGGAAGGAGGCAGCGGCCTGTGTCCACGTTGGGCAAGCGTCCTTTGCGTAGGGGGATCCAGGCTTTCTCTGGGATGTCAGAACCCGAGAGAGCGCGTCCTGCTGGGCTCGGAGCGGAGAAGTGTCTCCTGTGACAGACATGGAGGGAAGGTTAACCTCCTCGTGGTCACGGTGGGAGAAGGCCACGCCCAGCGTGGGCAGGGGATGTGGGTTTTAAAATGTCCGTTGCTTTTGCCGGGCTGTATGGCGTGTCCCCTGGGACCCTGGGTACTAGAGTTAGCACCCTAAAATTGACCAGAAGGGAAAATACCCCAGCACCCACAAAGTCCGTGTCCAGCAGTGGATACCAAGATGCTCCGCTCTTCGGAGCCTTGGAACCCTCCCGGAGACCCTAACCCCGTCTTGCCTTGGGCATCCCCCTCTCCAGCACGTGGTTGGCCCTGTGAGTCTCCAGCGCAGTTTATCTTGGAAAAGTGAGTGTTAAAGGGAGAGGGGAGGCAGAGAATGTGTTTAGATGGTGTGTTTGAAGGAAAATGTGCTTGAGTTAGAACTAAGTGCTGGGTCCTGGCCCTCCACAAATGTGGACTGGAGTGCAGATGCATCCCCCTTGAGCCTCCACGAGGGTTTGTGTCAGTAAGCGTGTACGTCAGGGAGCGTGCTGGTGATCACAGGAGCGTTTTTCTTGGTTCCCACACCTCTGGGATCATTTTTGGTTTGTTGCTTAATGTTTCAGGTGGACTTGTTAAAGTACAAGCTGATCTGTCCACTTCAGAAGTTCCGTCTGTTCATTGTGACTCTGCATTACAGTGGGCTGATGTAAGTTACTTGTCTCAAGTGCAATTGGGTTAGGTCTTCCAAGTTTTGTTTGTCCTTTAGCAAATGAACCAGTAGACCCATATGGTCCAGGACAAAGTTCTCACCTGTCTACAGTGAGGTGGCAGAGATCTGAAAAAATGAAAATGACTTCTTGGGGAGTTTTTCAGAATGTGTTTTCTTTGCAGATTGCCCCCTCCTCTTCTGAGATCATTACATTGTACTTTTTTGGGGGAGGGTCGTGTCTTGATGGGCTTTTATTTGTGGACCTGCTGCACATAGCCTGGGACTGAGGAGGACCAGCACTAGTCAGGCAGGTACTGATGCTGAGCGATGCACACCTCACAGGTGTGCTGACCTTGCCATTTACATGTGTTTGAATAATTTTGCAGTAAAAGTTTTAAAGTACTTTAACTTTTTGTAATCATAGATGTAAATTTAAGAAAAAATTTGCACTGAGCAAGCTAAAAATTTGACAACTTTTGTTTTCTCCTTTTTTTTTTTTGAAATTTTACTGGCTCATGAAATCAAAAGTTTGGGTTTATTACCTCTGTTATTAGTATTGTTTCTTACTGTTTGGAAATAAGACTTAAGTTGGAGTTGACTGGCTGGTGCATGAAGAATGTCAGGATTAGAATGCAGAGCATCTATCACTACACCAAATAATCTGTGGTTAGTTAGCACAGTTGTCTCCTGGACTCACCTGAATTCAGCACCAGACAGACTCCTGTAACCTTGTTTTTTCTTTTTTGGGGTTTTTTTGAGACAAGGTCTTGTTATGTAGCCCAGGCTGGCTTCCAATTATAATCCTCCTGCCTCAGCCTCTAGTGTGCTGGGGTTACGGGTGTGCACTACCATGCCTGGCCGCTTTTAACCTTCATGATGCCTTTTTCCTGGTAGAAGATGGCAGTTCCCGCATGGACTGCACAGGAAGAGACTGGAAAGACAAGGAGAAGTCACCCTAGCTGATGGTGTCCATGCTCGTCCCACAGGTGCTGACACCCATTTGGGATGCTACACTTGGCAGTGTTGGTGACAGAATAGGCCAAGGTCCAGGGCCCAGCAGAGCACCTGCCCTGTCAGAGCTGACCCTCCCTTCAAACCTGATTCGGTGCCGGTGAGGGAAGTAGCAGCCTTGGTCGCACACCCAGGTGAGCTGTGGAGGTCTCTTCGTCTCTTCCTTCCTCTGCGTGACCTGCTCACAACCCAATAGTGATTGTTCTGCTCATGAGAAATCTTGGTTGAGCTCCATTAGAGGCTGTGAGGTTTCCTCACTTCAGTACTGGGGCTTCTTCTTACATAGTTTCTTGCATTTCTGTTCTTTACGGACATTTTTATAGGAAAAGATATTCGACCTATATATGGAGTTAGATAACACATGATGATACATTTGAGTGACTTAAGAGTTGGCTGAAGAGATCCTTGCTTCCACTAGAGTGGAATTTTTGGAACGCCTGACCAGCTGCTTGTGCGGGGCAATCCTGGTTCTAGGTAGTAGAGTTAGCATTTCCCTAATAGGAGCGGGCAATTTTGGGGACATATTTTTCTAACTATGACTCAAATAGTCTTAAGCTTTGGCTAGGTCAACTGAGAGGCAGAGAGGGTTGTGGCCAATGGTGGGTGCAGGTGTGGCGGCTAGACGTGGTGGGGGTATTTCCTTCCAGTTCTGGACAGCTACACTGGTGGCATCCCTCTTCTGTTAGGGACTGCCACCTTGCCAGCTGTCTCCATAGGACCTGCAACCACCTTCCCAGCTGTTTTTGTCCCTATTTTACAATCCAAGAATTAGGGACTTTGCAGAGTTAAGGTACTTGTGCCCACATCTGTAGCCAAAGGTGACAGAACCCTCCAGGACTGCCACTGTCCAAAGCCTTAGTCCCCACCTGCCCTCTTTGCTTTTCTTGTTCTTCTGTTTTGATATATTGAGAAGACCTTCGCTTCAGTTTTAGGTTTTATACATACCGTTCTCCAGGCCTGTTCTTTTCCCTTCTCACTCCTCCCTCATTTTTAGAGAGACAGTCTGTGTATGCATGGTGTGGTAAATGTGTAATACACAAATACAATTTAAACTTTTATGGCAGTCCCATTAGAAAAATAAAAAGAAACAAAATTAATTTTCAAAATGTGTTTTATTTAACCTTATACATAAGAATGTAAGATTGTGACCTCAACATTGAAAAATTATTGAGATGTTTTACAATATTCCCCCCTCCCTTTTTTTACTGGGGTTTGAACTTAGGCCTGAGCCTTGCTAGGCAGGCGCTCTACCACTTGGACCACACCCCTGGCCCTTTCTTGCTTTAGTTACTCGTCAGATGGGGTCTTGCGATTTTGCCTGGGGCAGCCTCCACTGCAGTCCTCCCGCCTGTGCTACCACTTACATTCTTTTCTTAAACTAAGTCTTTGAAATCTGGTGGTGTATTTAGGGCACATCTCAGTTTGGCCTAGCCTTACACTGTGAGCTCAGTAGCCACGTGTGGCCCGTGACCTTATTGAAGAGCTCAGGTGCCCATCTGACTTGCATGCTGAGTCCTTTATTTTGTGGGTGAGTGGGTATGAATTAGCCACTCCCTGCTTTTGAGCAGATGTTTGGACCATGTGTTGTCTTTTTTCAGAAGCAGTGCCTCGTGCACTCGTGGCAGGCATGGCTTGGCAGCCTGATGCTGGTCCTGTGTGTCTGCTCTGTTGGTAGGGCCTCTCGTCTTTCTGCAAGGGGAGGTTCGAGTGCCTCCCTGTCTCACACCTCTGTAAGGGTGGGAGCTGTTCTGAGACAGCCATCCATAGTGACCCAACAGAAATGACACACTTGTCTCCAGACTCAGTTGTTGGTGAGTCCATGCTCCTTCTTGTCCCCACAGGCATGCATCATGCCAATAGTCGATAAGCTGAAGGAGGCCCTAAAGCCTGGCCGCAAAGACTTGGCCGAGGATGGGGACCTGGGCAAGCTGCTGGCCACCTCCGCCAAGAAGGTCCTTCTTCAGAGGATTGAGTTTGAGCCGGCCAGCAAGAGCTTCTCCTACCAGCTGGAATCCTTGAAGAGCAAATATGTGCTGCTGAACCCCAGGACGGACGGGGCCGCTCGTCCCAAGAGTGGGGATGAGCCCCAGGCCAGGAAACAGGGTATGGTGGGAAGAAAACTGGCAGAAGGTCTAGCCGTGCTTTGAGTCTGGATGGATCCAGGGTTGGCAGCGAGCAGAAAGAGCAGAGTGTGGTTAGGGAGCTGTGCAGCTCACATGGGGTTGGTGGGCTTTAGTTGTAGATGTCTGATACAGGGTTCTTAGGAAGGACATCTTGGGCTGTGCCCTGCCTCCCACCTGCAGGTTTAATGGGTGAAAAGTGAGGTTTGGGTATAGGTATGGGTGGACTGGAGCACGGTATGGTACAGTGCCAGGGCCTCACCCCCTTTCTCCCTCAGGCAGCGAGCGTGCATCTGGGGGTGGAGGAGATGGAGTCCCAGCTCCACAGAAAGTGCTCTTCCCCATCGAGCGACTGTCCCTGAGGTGGGAGCGCGTTTTCCGTGTGGGCGCAGGGCTGCACAACCTGGGCAACACCTGCTTCCTGAATTCCACCATCCAGTGCTTGACCTACACGCCGCCCCTGGCCAACTACCTGCTCTCCAAAGAGCATGCGCGGAGCTGTGAGTGGGGCTTGCGGTTGGGGTTGGCTGTGAGTCAGCTGAGCCAGGCAGCGCCCTTGTAGATAAGCCCCTGTGCTGGGGCGCTGACATTCCCTTCTAGATCCCATTCAGCGGTAGTCACGCCTGCTCTAGGGGCTGTGCACACCAGTCTCTCACGTGGTCCTGTGTTCTCCACACTTGTGAAAATGAGACACAGACAGAGATAGGGGTCTTCCAAAGACATTGCCATGATATACACGTCCAGTTATCTTGTCCACCTATTGAGCCAGTGCTTTATCAAATGCTCCAAAGTAGACATGAAAATTGAGTGAAAGAAAATGTAACATCAAAAACTGAAGAAAACACAAAGCATAAAGAATCTTCTAACTATTAAAGAAAGTAAAGCAGTGATTAAAAATCACCACCAGATTAAAAAACACCACCAGACTGGGATGGTTTTATGGGGTGAAAAGTTGTGAAACTTTTTAGAGCTAAATCATGCTAATCCTTTGTAACTTCTTCTAGTGACTAGAAAGAGAGAGTATTCCCTAGCTTGTGCTTCGAATTGAGATAATTAAGGACGATGTAAGAAAGAAAAGTCGTAATCTCATTTTATTAAACAAACTCAGTATAAAAATTCTACCTAAGCTGGGCACTGGTGGTTCACGCCTGTAATCCTGACCACTCAGGAGGCAGAGAGCAGGAGGATCACAGTTTGAAGCCCCCCACCCAGGGAAATAGTTCACAAGACCCTATCTTGGAAATATTCAACACAAAAAACAGGTCTGGCGGACCTGTTAGAGTGCCTGGTGTGAGCCCTGGGGCTGGCCTATGGGTCTATCCCAGTGTGCTGCTGAGCAGGCATGTCCTTATGATGGCATGTGGCTTCTTTTTGCCTCCTGCCCCTAATTGCAGAATAATCGCAGGTTTTCCTTACAGAGTTGTTGTGAGGCTCAAGTGAACTCTGTGACGTGCTTGGAACAGTGCTGTGTAATGACTGCTGCTGGCTTCCCTACCCGTGTATTCACAACTGCCATGTTGATGGGGTGAGCGAGGTTACCTAACATAGGACCCTCCCAAAGGAGTTCATGACTTAACAAAAAAAAAGAAAGAAAAGAAAAGGTTTAGCAGAGTAGTAATAGAAGGGCATTGCACTTCCTGTGCTAAAAACCACACGGATCAAAGCCACCCTCTAAGAAAGTACTGGAAGACACCTCGGAAGGTATGGCAAAGCATGGGTGGGCACCTTACTTCTGTCCAGGGTTGTGCTGGCTGGAAAAGGAGAGGAGGAAACACTTAGTGTGCTTTGACAACAATATTCCTACATACGAAACGAAAGGATATTAGACAAGTCAGAAATTACCATGGCAAATGGCTAGATAGAACGCCGAGTTTCTCTTCCCCAAACAATAAGCAACTGTAAAAAGAATTCACTCTCTTTAAAACGCAACATTAACAATACAGTATCTAGATGTAAATTTAGCAGAAAACCTTTACCGAAGGACACGAAGTGGTTACCTGCCTGAGTGAGGAGACTGAGCTCTCTGCTATTTATTATAATGGTGTTGGTTCTGCCAGGTGCTGGTGGCTCATGCCTATAATCCTAGCTACTTGGGAGGCTGAGATCAGGAGGATCCCAATTTAAGACCAGTCTGGGCAAATAGTTCCCTAGACCTCATCTCCAAAATAACCAGAGCAGAATGGACTGGGAGTGTGGCTCAAGTGATAGAATGCCTGCTTTTCAAGCATGAAACCCTGAGTTCAAACCCCAGTCCTGCCAATAAAAATGTTTGTTTTCTCCAAATTAATGTGTAGATTAAAGTGCATTCATTTGACTCTGAAGTTTGTATAAAAAAGCAAAGGAGCAGAATTTGCCAGGACACTTGTGAAGGTGACTAGGAGAAGAGATATGCCCTGCTAAGTATAGAGACTCACTATAAAGTTACGAAAACTAAAATGTCATCGTAGATTCTGGACGGAGGCACTGACCAAAAGAATAGGATCAGGAGCCCAGAAACAGACCCACGTGTGTGGAAGTGTGCTGGCACATACTGGCTTTTACACATACAGGGTCATTTTTGATAAAGAATTAGAACAAAAACTTGGTTTTATGTATGGAAGACGTTGACACAAGGTCCTCATTTTATATCATTTGCAAAAAGGGGGGAGGTGAAAAACTTAGTGTCAAAAATAAAACTTAATGTGTTTGTAATGAATGTATGCACATGTTTTCTGACCTTGGGATGGGAGCTGTCTTGAGATTCAAAAGCATTAAGCATTAAAGAAAAAATTTGCTGAGGTCAGCTGCATTAAAAGTTAAAGCCATTGAAACGAAAGGACTAACAGAGAGCCAGACATAAGGAAAAGACAAAATATCCTGTTTAAAACACAGGTGATGTTATGAACAGGTGTTCACAGAAGAAGGAATTTAAGATCAGAGGTGCCTGTGAAGTGGTGCTCAGCCTTGTGGCCACTGGAGAAAGCCATGAAAACCCAGTTTAGCTACTGTTCCACACACTGAGTCATACAAATTCCCAAGGGTAAGCAGCATGAATGTCAGAGAGGAGGAAGCGATGCGGTGGCTCAAGTGGTAGAACACCTACTTAACAAGCGTGAGGTCCTGAGTTCAAACTCCAGTACCACCACAAAAAAAGGGAGGAATCTCAGATCCTTTGACCTTCCGGACTGAACTGGCGTAAATGCTTTGGGAAGCAGTCTGGCATTAACTTTCATGAAATCCAGCACCCAGCAGTTCTACAGACAGAAAACAACGTGAATTCCTTATTCTTTTTTTTTTTCTTTTTTTGTGAGAGGTGGGGGAGGTGATGTGGGGATGGAACCCAGGGCCGTGTGCATGCTGGGCGAGCTCTACCACTGAGCTCCGTTCCCCAGCCCTCTTTTTTTTTTTTTTTTTTTTGGTGAGACTGGGATTTGAACTCAAGGCCTCGTGCTTGCAAAGCAGGTGTTCTTCCACTTGATCCACACCTCCAGACTGTTTTGATCTGGTTGTTTCAGAGCTGGGGTCTTGTGAACATTTGTTCAGGTTGGTGATCCTCCTGATCTGTGCCTCCCAACTAGCTAGGATTATAGGTGTTAGCACTGGCTCCCAGCCCTACCTTTTCTTTTTTTTTTTTTATTTTGGTCTTTTGAGACAGAGTCTCACTAACTTTGCCTGGCTATCCTCAAATTCACAATCCTCCTGCCTCTTCCTCCCAGGTAGCTGGGGTTACAGGCATGTACCACCACACCCGGTTCCTTCAGCCTTTTCAGAGTAAAATGTCAGAAGTTGTAGCCTTTTCTCCTGTGCCCCTCTGGCTGTCTGAGCGACCCCCATGTGGGTGTTGCTGTGCTTTCTTCAAGTGTGCTTAAGCTGGGCTGGGCCAGGCATCTGCTATGTGCACAGCACAGAGTCCTGGCTGTGGCCCTACTGCCCCGGCCCCGGTAGTCAGCTGGAAAATAAACTCTTCAGGTGAGGAACCCAGGAGGGACACAGTTAAATCTGGTTCTTTAGTACCAGACTTAAGTGCCAAAGTCCCCAGAGTCACAGACTTCACTTTACAGTTAACGTTTTTCTAAGTTACATGGAAAGGTGTTGTCTATGCGCCCCTTCAGTTAAGCTCTGTATTGCTAAGGAGTTCTGCCTGAGGTTGCTCCCTGTCCTATTTTGGGAGGATGTTTATCAGGCCGTGTTCAGAGCATTGTACAGTGACTGGAGGCTGAGTTCCTACACAACAGCTGTGTCTTAAGCAGAGCTGGGTTTCAGAAAAAGAAGCTCTTTAACATTTGTTAAAGTATGTTTTGTTTTAAATAAATAGTATTTTTTGCCTGGTTTTTGAGTCTCCCACCATTATTGTCATTTAATAATTAAGTCTAACAAACAGATGTGGTTAGAAAAATCAAATGTCTGCAATGTAGCCAGGTGCCAGTGGCTCACATCTGTAACCCTAGCTACTTGGGAGGCTGAGATTGGGAGGATCGCAGTTTGAGGCCAGTCCCAGCAAGTACTTCTCAAGACCCCATCTCCAAAATAACTAGAGCAAAATGAACTAGAGGCATGGTGTCCAGTAGAGCGCCTGCTTTGAAAGTTCCAAGCCCTGAGTTCAAACCCCAGCTCCACCCAGAAAGAAGTCTAAATGAAAGATGAAGGTCATATTGTGAGCAGTGTTCCCTCTTTATGTACCTGTTGTGAATGGGTTGCAAGCTGTTCTGCTACTGACTCTGAGATGAGCCTAAGTAACTGACGTGAGGGATTGAGGGGGAAACAACGGGCTCAGGTTGGATTTTGTGTTATGAGATAGATCAGTTTGGAATGATAACAGTATGTTGCAGAATTATCCAGAACTTTATTTTCTAGCTGTGTACCTTGGAGAAACACACCTGTGTGCCCAGGCACAGGTTAGTTCCTTGCAGCAGCATTTGTGATAGCGGGAAGTAGGAAGGGCTGAGCATGCTAGCAGTGCAGGCTTGGGGCTAGAGCTGCACCTGCAGTGTGGACTTGAGGAAGGCCAGCTGCTGATGCATATGATACAGTTCAGTTTATTCAAGTCAGCTTGTGAACACACAACTATGGTGCCAGTCACCGCTCGTGGATGGCCACCAGGCATGACTACAAGTGCATGAGGGACCGGTAATTGCCTAGTTCAGGGTAGTGGTTGTCTTGCTGAAGGAGCGTGGAGAATGGGACTGAGAGCGTTCAGCTATTGCACCAGCTAAAATAGGGTAGAGCAGGGTAGCATTGTGGTCTTCTTAAGTCTCTGAGTTTAAATAAGTCAGTTTTGAAGGTAAGCACGCACCCTGCTCTGCAGGCACCGTAATGGGTGTGCAGGGCAGTCTGGTGTGTGGCCTGTGTTTGTGAGTAAAGTTGCGTGGAGCATGTCAACATCTGCCCCATCATCTCTGTTGCTTTTACCCCAGTGGCAGAAGACTGAGGCTGCACAGCCTACAAAGCTAAGCAGTTGCTTTTGCTCTTCACAGAGTGTTTGGCCCCAGTGAATAGCAGTGAGGTATTTTCTAGAAGCAGTTGGGCAGAGGTTCCCATGTTGGAGGGGCAAACTGAAGCACCACAGGAAGCCCTAAAATATTACAGTCCATCAATCAAGTGATGTCACTTAGAAAGTAGGAGGTATTTTCCTGAACTTCATGTGGAAAAGCAGAATCAGTCTTTGTGTAAGTCATAATGCTGATAAAATACCTGGCACTGCCAACATCATTAACCCAGGGTGATGGTGGGAAGGTGTTGGAATTACAGCTTTGGGTGGCCATGGCCCCAGAATGCCATCCGGCAGATAAAGTGTCTCTGGGGATCCCTGAGTCGATTTCCTGGGCCTGGAAGTTCTGTGGCCTAGTTGTTCTGTCCTGGACTAGCTGGCCATCCTTTGCCTGTGTCCCTCTTCTTTGGAGAGTGGAGGTGTCATGGTGAATTCTCTTGAAGGCTGTCATCTTAAAATTGCTTCTGTCATACCGCAGGTCACCAAGGAAGCTTTTGCATGCTGTGCGTCATGCAGAACCACATTGTCCAGGCCTTTGCCAACAGCGGCAATGCTATCAAGCCTGTCTCCTTCATCCGAGATCTGAAAAGTAAGAGCGGGTTCATGAGCGAGGGCAGCGTGGCCAGTGCTGCCTAGCTGGCAGAAGGGAGAGAAAACATGCGTGAAGTCAGGAATCCATCTGTGGGGAGGGTCCTGTGCTTAGTAGGGCAGCCCAAAGCACAGCAGTTCAGAGACTCAGGCAGGCTCAGGTGCTGCACACAGTGAAGGGTTCACACAGAGGTACGCATGACCACTTCCTTGAAGAGCAGGTGTTGGCTGGTGGAGGGGCATGTTGTATGTTCAAGGCTGGCAGATGAGTGAAAGAGATGGGAGGGGGGGACCAAAGGAGATGTGCTTCGTCCTTTCTGAGCTTCAGAGGAGCCAGCTGCCTCATGCTGGGGACCTGTGTAAGTTGCAGCTCTCGGGTGTGATTGTAACCTGATTGTGTTATGTGTCGGCTCTGAGAAGACTAGTTAAGCAGTGCGTTTTGCTTTGTTTTGTTTTTGAGACGGTCTTAGCTGTGTTGCCCAGGCTGACCTGAAATTCCTGGGCTCAAGGGATACTCCAGCCTCAGCCTCCTAATTATCTGGGATTCTGAAATCCCAGGTGTGCACCACCACACCTGCCTAAGCCGTTACGTCTTTGAAAGGATGTCTCTTTTCCCCTTGTGACCGAGAGCAGGTGACACTGGGCAAAGCAGAGTGGCGTTCCTCCCCATCCCTTTCTTCTCTCGTCAGGGATCGCCCGGCACTTCCGTTTTGGGAACCAAGAGGATGCACACGAGTTTCTGCGGTACACCATCGACGCCATGCAGAAGGCCTGCTTGAATGGCTACGCCAAGTATGTGCCTCTCCTCCCCACCTTTGAAGGACTGCGGACGCTTCTGTGGAGGTGGTGGGGCATTCTCCTGGAGGCAGGTGGCCCTGCACCCTCCTCCCAAGCTGTCTTAGGGTGTGGCAGCATTTTTGTAATTTGTGAAGTGGGATTGCCCGGGAAGGGCCCTCTCTGATGCTCCTAGGCAGCACATCACCATAGGATTGGCAGAGAAGGCGGGGGTGGTGTGAGTGCTGTCCTGGTGGTCAGATGAGGGACAGGCCTTGTAAACTCCTAAGGAATTCAGTTACTACCACAGACTCCTCCGAGATACCTTCTAAAATCACTTCGTTATCTTGTTTTTGGTTCTTTAGGACAGGGTCTTGCCTAGGTTGGTCTTTGAACTCTCAGATTTTAGGCATGTACTACTATGCCTGACTCCACTTCTTTGGATTTTTTTTTTGGGGGGGCGGGGGGAGGGGTACTAGGATTTGAACTCAGAGCCTACACCTTGAGCCACTCCACCAGCCATTTTTTGTGATTTTTTTTTCAAGACAGGGTCTCATGAACTATTTATTGCCTGGGCTGGCTTTGAACCACGATCCTCCTGATCTCTGCCTCCTGAGTAGCTATGATTATAGGTGTGAGCCACCGGCACCTGGCTCTACTTCTTATTTTGATACAGACATTGTGTGTGGGCAGGGGGAAGGGGCAGTAGGAGTTGTAATGATCTGTAAAACACAAGTAAGAGCACACAGGAAAACTCAAAGTTAGGGAGATTTCAGTTTTTAAGGCGTTACACTGCCCAGGTGCAACTTCTTCAAATTTGAAAGTGTGGAACATACTCCTAACAGTTACTTCATGTCAGGTGTCCCCAGGGCAGTGGACAGTTTGCTTTTGTGTCATCCCTGGGTTCATGGTTCAGACAAGGCTAGACAGGCAGTGTTCACTGGTTGTCACTGAGGCTGGGAAGAAAACCAAATCCTTACCTAAATAATTTGGGAAACTTCTGGAATGTTCTTCAGAACAGTTAGCTGAGGTATAACAACAAGTGGTTGAAGTGGAAAAGCACTGGTTTCAGCAAATGAGAGTCTTCCATAAAGAAATCTTATATAAAGAACACTTACTTAAATGGTATGTTCACATACCTTTGGGGGTGTGGGATTTGCTGCACCTGTGAGTTTGTGCTGTTGGTTGTGTTGGCCTCTGTGTTGGCCTCCCGGTGACCACATGCTCAGTCTGCTTACTGCGTCACGTTGCTGTGGCACTGCTGCACACGGGTGGATGCAGGCACAGGGTCACTTCTGTCATGTTAACACTTGCTGCCTTGGGATTATGGACTCTGTCACATTTTGTGCTTTGGGACTTGATTTGGTTTTTTTGATGGGACTGTGGTTTTAACGAAGGGTTCGCACTTGCAAAGCAGGCACTCTACCACTTGAGTCACCCTCCAGTTCACTTTGCTCTGGTTATTTTGGAGATGGGTCTTGAGAACAATTTGCTGAGGTTGCCTTTGAACCCTTATCCTCCCATTTGAGCTTCCCAAGTAGCTAGGATTATAGGCATGAGCCACTGGCACCGCTGTGCTTTGGGACTTGAGTTGTACTTTGCCCTGTGTCAGGATTGTGTCCCAGATCTGTGAGGTTTACCTCTGACATCACCCCCTGAGCACTGTCTCACTGAAGTAGGCCATACTGAAAGTCTTTAGTGGTTGACTAGGTAACTCAGTTTGTTGATTATTGTGTTTTCTTTACACATGTGTGAGCTGCTGTGTTTACCTGTACAATTCCTTTCGATATTAAAACGCCCTATTTCTCACCCCTCGGCTGATGGTTTGTCAGCTTTCAGTGGTGTCCTGTACCTCCTGCCTCTTACCCTCCTCTCTCTCCCCATTTTTGTGTATGTTGTTTCTGTTGTTTAGTGTACAGGATTTATCTTTTCCCTGCCCTGGTCTCCACCTTCCTTGGTTATAAGTTGCAGTTACAGGTGCCTGGTGCCCACCCAGTGCCCTCCTGGGGTGTCCCAGCATGCTTGCCCAGCAGCATGCCCTCTGGTTCTAGGACAGATGTGTACAAAAGTCTTGGAACCGGTTTCTTCCAGATACCATATCGTCCCCTGACCAGTCCTAATTAGATGACAGTGGCATGTACTGAGCCTGGGGACGTGGGGACACAGCATTGTTCTCTCCATCTGAGAGCTTGCCTTTAGCAGTGGTCATGTTGAGTCTGAACACGGTAGCTTCTGGGGTTAAAGGTGCAGTTGTGCAGGCCAGCCTTGGGATAGGTGCCACGCTGCCACAGGCGGTGTTTCTGGTGAGAAGTGTACGGGGCCTGAGTCCCCAGGGAACGTGCTCCTCTGGGAACACGCACTGGTGCGGGTGGTGTTTCTGCCGGATGTTCTTTGTTCTAGTCTTACACATTTTACTTTTCCAGGACCTTCAAGTCATTAACTTTTCTCTCAGACAGCTCTGTCTTTCGTATTTCCATTCTCTGATCTTTTCCTGCCTTAAGTGCCCTGTGTTGAAATTTACTTGACTCTCTTATCTCTAAAGGGTCTTAGGCCTTTCTTCTGTTTTTTTCCAGAGTTCAATTCTCTCTCTCTTTACTTTTATAATAATTTATTTGGCAGCCCTGGGGTTTGAACTCAGGGCCTCATTCATCCTTGCTAGGCAGGTGCTCTACCACTTAAGCCACTCTGCCTGCCTTGTTTTGTGTTGGGTTTTTTTTTTTTTTTTAAGATAAGGTCTTTTGAACTATTTGCTGGAGCTGGCTTTTGAACCATGATCCTCTTGATCTTTGCCCCCAGAGTAGCTAGGATTACAGGCGTGAGTCACCAGCACCTGGCTTATCTTTTAAACTTCTTGTTCAGAATGATTTTCCCTCCCTCCCTCCTGTGCTTGCTATGCACATACTCTACCACTTGAGGCACTCCCAAAGTCGTGTTTTCTTTATTTTTCAGATAGAGCTTCCTGTTTTTGCCAGAGCTGACCTGGACTGAGAACCTCTTAGGTATACTCCCTGTGCCTCCCGTGTGGCTGAGGCTACATGCATGAACCACCATGCCCACTCCAAAGTGGTTTTCTTTTGTTTTTGGTCAGAGTGCCCTTCACCTGTGCAGTGTTGAGAACACTTAATCCTGTTTGGACTCTGGAGTTTGTGCCACTTTTTGCTCCATCCTGTTTGTTTCCTGGGGAGTTTTTAGTGGCGAAGTGTTTTCGTCGTGTTTATTACCATCTTCTAGAAGAAGCACTTTTGCCCGAAGGGCTTCCTCCCTCTGTCTGTGGGTCTGGTGATTTTCAGTGTCCTCAATTCAGGGCCAACTTCAGCACTGGGAAGTGTCAAGTGCACTTTTTTTTTTTTTTCCCCTTTTCTTTTCTTTCCTTTTCTCTGGCAGTGCTGGAGTTTGAACTTAGGGACTTAGGGACTGACACTTGCTAGGCCAGTGCTCTACCACTTGTGTTGGATATTTTTTGTGTTGGGTATTTTTGAGGTAGGGTCTCTCTCTTTGCCCAGGCTGGCCTTGAACCTTGGTCCTCCTGATCTCTGCCTCCCAGGTAGCTAGGATTACAGGTGTGAGCCACCAGTGCCCAGTGTGCACTCTCTTTCTTTGGACAGTTTTTCTGGGGTGGCAGAGGAGCAATAGGCAGTGGTAGTTTTGGGTTTTTCAGAAGTGTCCCTTTTTGCCACTCTACACCACATTTCCAGGATGCCTGCCTGCCCTTTTACCTTCTTCCTCACAACTGATCCGGCACATGTACTCCAGGTGCTCATGCCAGGTGACTCAGCCTGCCCTAGCTGGTGGCCCTCTCCCCTAGTTGCTCCCTGCTGTCCTTGCCCGTGGGCCAGAGGGGAGCAAAGGAGGTAGCACTGCTGGAATCCGGCTTCATGTGGAAGGTTGAGCATTTTCTGCTTGGGTTCCTCTGGGGTGCCATGGGCTGTGGTTCTTACTGGCTTCTGAGGACTTGGCCACCTGAATCAGTGTAGTCCGTCATATGTGGCTGCCTGCAGGTTTTAGCATGCTCTGAGATGGTGTCCTTGGGGAGTCAAATTGTCCCTTCTTTTGATGAATGGTAACAGTTGACCTTTCATTTCCTGACTTTGCAAAGACAAAAATTTAGTTCCCCAATGTTTTGGAGCTCCCAGAATCCAGGAAGTATAGTCAGTACAGGCCTGATGCATGTTGTTGGGGGTCAGCACATTCTTGGGGTCAGCAGGGGAGGTGTGAAGCTGCATGGCATGTAATTGTCTAGACAGCATGGGCAGCGTGAGGAGCCCTAGAAGCAGTGCTATGCAGCACCTGGCCAAGGGTGCCATGCCTTTGGGAGGCCAGGGAGCAGCTGGGGTCTGAGGTGCTCAAGAAGGAGCTTCTAGTCTGGGAGTAGGCCTCATCCTCATGGTATTAAGGAAGACATTTCTGAGGGAGGGACGAACAGGAGCAGATGCAAAATCTGGTGACTGCCACACAAATGGTCACCAACAGGGAGGGACTATGTAGTCTTAGCCCTGGTGTGAGTGGTCAGGCACTGGAGCTTGGGGTTGCCCAGGTCGTGGTTAGTAAGTGGTGCTGGGGGTTAGAATTCAGGGTGACCTGACTCTGAAGCTGGCTGCAGGGGACCCTGCCCCCCAGGTCCCAGGCCTAGCTGTACCTTGCCTATACCTCCATGTGGAGGAGCAGAGCTGAGCCTGCAGGGTGTACGTGCCCAGAGAGGGTGTGAGGAGGGTGGCTGCCAGAGTCCAGGAAGGGCAAGGCCTCCAACTCCACCCAATTCAGGCCCTTCTTCTGTTGAGGCTGAGAAGAAAGGGTGGGGAGGCCAATGCAGTCTGTGCCTCTCTCTTCTGTGGGGTGGACAGGGCAGTTGCCTACTGAGTGGGGCATTTGTGAAGGTTTGAAGCAGCTGTTGTAAGGCAGCAGGCCGAGAAGATGGATGCTTTGTAGAGGCCCCAACACTGCTGGGCCTGCCTACAAGGTACAGGTAAGAGGATGGGAGCCCCTAGTGACTGGATGGTGGGGCTGATGCAGGTCTCCTTTGTGCTTTGTGTTACCTTTTGACAGCTGTGCCTCCTTTTTAGGTTGGATCGGCAGACGCAGGCTACTACCCTGGTGCATCAGATTTTCGGAGGCTATCTCCGATCGAGAGGTGAGTGGAGACGTTTCCACAACCTCCCTATTGGGAGTAGACATTAGCTCAGGAGATCCCAAGTGTTGGCATGTGGACCAGCTTCCTTCCCAGCTGAGCAGACCTGCGCATGGCCCAGAGGTTCTGGGCCTTGGTTTCCTGCCTGCAGATGTTGTCTGATTATAACAGTGTTCCCGTGAGGAAGTGTGGAGGAATGTGCACCTGTAAAGTCACTCTGTCCTCTTCCTTAGCTCTTCTCAGTCTCTCCATATGCAGCCACTGTCCGCCTACTGCAGGGCCTGCCGGGTCAACCACGTCAGTGCCTGTCAGTGGTAGGCGGGCCCATGAGTGTGGCTGATGTCTCATTGAGTGCTTTCTCACCGTGGTGAGATGACCCTCTGTGTTCTGTTGCAGTGAAGTGCTCTGTGTGCAAAAGTGTCTCGGACACCTATGACCCCTACCTGGACATAGCGCTGGAGATTCGGGTAATGTGGGGGAATCTGCGTTAATGTGATTTCAGAGGCCAAGGGCAAAGCAGCAGTAATGATGCACTCTCAAATAGACCAAGATAGGGGATCCTTAAGCGTTCTACTGGAGGTGGTTACAGTAGAAACCTCATTTTTTGCATATGTCGTTCTAGCTCTTTTCTATGTGCATTTTCCTTCTATTTAAAAACGAAGTAAAACTGAGTGTCGTGTCTGGAGGTAGAGTTGGGACAGCACTGTAAGCTGCACAACATGGTGTGGCAGGCATCCCGTGAGAACCGGTGGCCTGGGGAGAGTAACTTTGTCTTGGCTCACTGTTGGGAAGTCATCCTTGCCTTTGCTGAAACTTTCTGAGCTTTGGAGCAAATCCAGCTCTTTTTGAAAGGGTCTGAGTGACATAACAAAGCTCATGTGACTGTCACTTATCACTGCTCCTTTGTGGTGGCTGTTCCTAGGCTCAGAAGGTGGTAACTAGTGGACCAGTTTTTATGCAAGTCAAGTTTTGTGATTCGCTGCCTTGGCCTGAAGAAGACCTTAAATTTGACATTTCTTGAGTCAGCCTTTTTCTTCTGCTGTTCATTCTATTCCATTTTTGTCCTTCTCAGCAAGCTGCAAATATTGTGCGTGCTCTGGAACTTTTTGTGAAGCCAGACGTCCTGAGTGGAGAAAATGCCTATATGTGTGCTAAGTAAGTTTCACATTGCTCATGGAAAAAAGATTATCCAGAAAGCTGAAAAATGTGTCCCTGCCCAACCCATTTACTCCCCCTTAGAAGTGACTAGTGCTCACGGGTGTTGAGTAGATTGTGTCTGTGACACGCATTCGGCCTCTAGCCATACTAATGAAGGGGTAGCCGTGAGGTCTGTAGCTGCTGTCTGCCCAGCACTTGTCACTGTGGTAAAGGTTCCACGTGTGTTAGCTTGTGAAGTAGACATGGTTGTCCCCATTGCTCAGGATGGGGGAACTGAGGCACAGAGAGGAGAAGAGACTGGCCTGGCTCTCACCCACAAGACGTGGCAGAGAGCCACCCCACTGTCCTGACTCTTAGACATGAGCTAATCTGCACCTTCCGAATTTAACTTCAGGTGTCACAGGCATCTGTTTCAGGAAATAGAACTTACTCTATTGAGTGGATGTCTTTACATGTAGGCCATTTTACAGTTTTAACTGCAAAGAATATTTTCTTCATTCTTTTCAAATTTCTTTATGCTGTGCCAAGACTCTGGTTTTTGTTATTATTGTTTGCTTTTTGTATTTTTTGGTGATGCTGGGGTTTGAAGTCAGGGCCTTGCACTTACTAGGCAGGCGCTCTACCACTTGAGCCACTTCACCAGCCCCGTTGTTTGTTTTTTTTAAACCTTCTTGAGATCTGCTTCCTATGGCTCTGGAAGCTGTTCAGTTTTCTCTCTGTTCCTCCCTCTTCCTTTACTTGTCGTCAGGCTTTGCTTGCGTCAATTTCCTGCTTGCTGTTTTATCACTGGCCACATCTGCTTTGGTTTGTTCTTTCCTGTGTTGATTACCCCAAGTCAGTTTTTCGAGTGTCTTACCTAGTCGCCTGGGCAATGGGTGGTGTTCTTGCTGTAGGGCTCCACCTTCCCTGGTCATTGCTGCCCCAGTAGCTTCCCTGATTGAGAGCAGGTGGGTTTGATGTCTGGCGTGTAGAAGGCACCAGTCTCGTTAAAGACTTCTGGTTCAGAGCTGTTCTTTTACTAAGGAAGCACAAACACAGTGTTTTTCAGAGCATAAAACGAACCTTTCCCTTCACCTTCTTTACAGATGCAAGAAGAAGGTTCCAGCCAGCAAGCGCTTCACCATCCACAGAACATCCAATGTCCTGACACTGTCCCTCAAGCGCTTCGCCAACTTCAGCGGGGGGAAGATCATGAAGGTGAGCCTGGCTCAGCCTGCTCTGCAGCTTTGATTCTCATCACAGTCAGCTTTCCACAAGTGCACATTCCTGGCTGTATCCCAGAGCCAGTGAGCTCCAGTCTCTGGAGGGTAGCGCCCAGGAATCTGCACTTCTTAAAAACCTCTTACATATGGTCCAGTTTGAGAACCACATTCTTACTGGATTGCCCCTCAATTTCTGTTCTTCCCATAAGGAAGGCCAGGGGTTTCTTTAGAAAAAATATGAGCCATGAAATGAACCAAGCCTTGTATGCACATATGAATAATAAAAGAAAAAGGGGAAAAAAAAAAAAGTATGAACCAGACACCGGTGGTTCACACCTGTAATCCATGGGACTTTTGAGGCTGAGATTAGGAGGATTGTGGTTTGAGACCGCCTGAGCAAAAAGTTTGTGAGACCCCCATCTTGGCCAATAGCTGGGCATGGAGGTACATGCTGTGTGAGAGGCTGAAATTGGGATGATTGTGGTTCCAGGCCCATGGGGCAAAAAAAAGTTCATAAGACCCCATCTCAATAGGGGGATAAAAGCTGGGCGTGGTGGTGGGCACCTGGCATCTCAGCAGCCGCAGGAAGCATGAAATGAGAGATCAGGGTCCAGGCTGGCCTGGGCAGAAAGCAAGACCCCATCTCCAAGAGAACCAGAGCCAAAGTGGAGGTGGTGCTCAAGCAGTACAGCGCCTGCCTAGCAAGCACAGCATCCTGTGTTTAAACCCCAGTACCTCAAAAAAAAAAAAAACACCAAAAGCAAGTGTGGTGAGCACTGTGCTTTGTAGCTGTGGGCTGCCCACCGTGTCCTGCTTCATGATGAAACAGGTGTGATTTCGTGATGTGGCTTTTGAGGAATGGGGATAAAAATCTATTTTTTTCATGACGGAATCTCATTAGAAGATGTCTGTTTCAGGAGAGTCCAGTATTCTGTTCTTAGTCAGAACTGATTGTGTGGTCGGGGCAAGCAAGGCCTTTGTGTCAGCAGTGGCAGTAATTGCAAGCCTTCAAAGAACCTTTCTGAAGCCATGTTGCATTTTGAATCTCTGAGAGTAGAGTCTAAGGTGAAGAATTTTCTAAACATCACCATCTGAGGAGTCGCTCGCTCCCTTGCCTTGCTTGCCCTGTGACTCCTGTGGTGCCATGCTGTCAGGTGCTGGTGCCCACAGATGAGATTGGGGTGGTTTTGCTCTGAGGAGCATATGTTTCACCTGTTAACACCTTTGAAACCACTTGTCCAGAAGAACCCAGTTTGAGAAACAGTCTATGTGGCTCTTAGGGGCCCTTAGAACAAGGTGGAATTGGGGCTCATGAGTCCATAGTGTACATTGGCTTTTGAGTCAGAAAGAAGGAGCCAGATGCAGCGGTACATGCCTGTGATCCTGGCACTCAGACTGAGGCAGAAGGATGGTGAGTTTGAGGCCAGCCTGGGCTACATAGACCTTGTTCTCAACAAACTACATTATGTTGATCAAAAGAAGCCAGACAAATAAGAATGTACTGTAGGAGGAGGTAGAAAACCATGCAAAGCGAATCAGGGGTGATGGAAGTCAGAATGCTGTGTGTCTGAGGTGGCCAGTGATGGGGGCACAAAGGAGCCTGGGTCCTGTATGTTGATTGGAGTATGGGCTGCATCAGGGCACACCTGTCAAAACTCAGCGAGGTGTACAACTGCGGTCTACGTGCCCATGATGTAGGTTGTACTCAGTTAAAGAAAGGGTTTGTGTGTATATGCAGAGCTGCAGACAAGCCGCCAGTCACTGAGAGATGACTTAAAGATGCTTTTCCTCTGAGATAAGTAATGCTGGCTTGACCTTTGTTCTGACCCAGTCCATTAAAGATTAGCTCACTGTGGCAGTTGGTTCAGCACCTTGTTTCTGAAGACCTAAACCCCAGCACTCTCTCCCTACCTCCTCTCTGACAGTGTTCCTATACAGTGGAGGGAAAGAAAAGAAGTGGGTGCATCTTCTTTGTCAGTTGGGAACCAATTTAGATGCATGAAGATGACAAGAGCGTACCATAAATTGTTCTTTGGGACAGTAACATGGCTTCAAATAAGCAGCTGGAAGACTCTACTTCTCAGCTGCGTCGTGTCTTTGACCTGGGGGCTCGTGCCTGGCCTTGCCAACACGCAGTTGCCCAGATTGTTAAAGACCAGTGGCTGTGAAGGTAAAGGGTAAATTGACTCTTTTCCTTCCTGACTAATTACTGACTTGCCTTTCTTTGACTTTTCAAATAGGATGTGGGCTATCCAGAGTTCCTGAACATCCGGCCATATATGTCCCAGAGTAACGGTGACCCTGTCATGTACGGGCTCTATGCTGTCCTGGTCCACTCAGGGTACAGCTGCCACGCTGGGCACTATTACTGCTATGTGAAGGTGGGTGCCACTGAGCCCTGCTCCTTGCTCTGGATGGCCAGCATGTGCTGCCTCTGGGGCAAATTTACCGCATCCATAACATCCATGTTTGACCTTTGCATGTTTATTCTGGAAAGTGGCAATGGTTTATATTTGTGTTCAGGTCCTCCTTGTTCCATGACAGAGTGAGACAATTCTTTGGAAATGGCTCCACCAGAATCTGTAGGGCTCTTGGGCTGGTGGGAGATGCCATGGTGTTTAGACCTGCCTGTGTCTGCTGCGGGAGGCACAGTAGGGTGCTTGGAGTCACCTTCAGAGTGACACAGATGCTCCAAAGAGATGGTGGGGAGCCACTACTGATAACTGTTAAGTAGCACCTGATCCATGTAGTGACTAATAGCACATTTTGGCTGCCCTCTTTCACAAGTGAGAACTAGCTGGGCTTGGTGACGCAGGCCTGTAATCACAGCCCTCAAGAGACTGAGGGAGGAAGGTTGCAAGTTTAGGGCCAGCCTGTGCTGTGTAGTGAGACCCAGTCTCAAAACAAACGAAAGAGTGAGGGTTGTGGGCTGTCTGTTGATTATTGTTTTTTGCAACCTTCCCCATGCGGCTCAGGCAAGCAATGGACAGTGGTACCAGATGAACGACTCCTTGGTCCATTCCAGCAACGTCAAGGTGGTTCTGAACCAGCAGGCCTATGTGCTCTTCTACCTGCGGTGAGGACCCTATTCCATATCCAGACAAGCTCACACCCTCTGGCACTCTCTTCCTTTTCTCAGCCTTCTCCTATCTGAAAGTTACTGGGTATTTGCTGGAGGGAAACCATTTGGGCAGATACCGTCTCCCAGTCATGTTTAAGGAGCATGTCTACAGCTGTGTAACCTTGCCTGCCTGGTTGTCAGGTGAAAGCTGGAGCCCTGGGGAGGGCAGAACAGGATACCATCTGCCCCACAGTGAGAGGCAGTTTCCTATTACGGATAGCATCGTGCTGAATTAGGCATGTTGCATGTGTCAGTCAGCTGGTGCACCTGCCTCTGTGATCAGCAGGTCTCTGATGAGCCACAGCAGCTCCTTCAGGAGGCGCCTTTCCTGGCTTGTCACCAACCTAGAGGTTGGAGGACATGGTGACTGAGGTGAGCTTTGCTGTTTTGTACAGCCCTGCTGAGTGTGGGTGATGGATTTGAGGGCTATTTGGCTTTCTGGGGCCTGAGGATCTCATCTGGAAGTCCTCTGGCTGCTCTGCACTCTGTGCTCTCTGTGCAGCTGGTTCAGGCTGTCCCAGCCTCATGGTGGCTGAAGGACCAGGCCAGAATTCAGAGAAGCCTGTTGGGACGCTCAGGGTTCCCGTAGTTGTTTCTCTGCCTTTGCCCTGCATTCCTAGAAACAGAACTGCAGTCTGGACTCTAGGTTACCCAGGGCTTCTTCACCTTCCACCTTGCAGTGCCCGTGGGCTTAGGCTGGAGACCTCCTAACTCCTTTCTTTGCTCTGACAGAATTCCAGGCTCTAAGAAGAGTCCTGAGGGTACCATCTCCAGGACAGGCTCCACCCTTCCCAGCCTCCCAGGTGTCATTCCAGATCACGCCAAGAAGAGCACTGGCAATGGGGTCACTTCCTCCCCACTGACTGCAAAGGTATGGTGTGAGCTGGTGGGGGTGGAGAGCTGTGCTTTGAGCTCCTACCTGGTACCTAGCTCCAGGATCTCCTCATATGGAAACCCCAGCCCTGTGGGAGGAGTTTGCAGGCAGTGATCCTGTGTCAGTCCACGTTATTTCCTAAACTTTTCATCAGCTGCCATTGGAAGAGAGAAAGGGTGCCATAATGCACAGGTACATCTGCTCAGTAGCCCAGCTGCTGTCTAGAAGTGCTGGACAGTCTTGCCAGGCCGATTTGAAATCCCAAGCATTTAAAGAAACACCACCATGCATCACTGAATGAAGGAGCAGTTGGTAGTGTTGCCAGTGTCCTGATTTGGGTAATTAACCTGTGGTTCTGTACAAGAATGTCATTCTTTGGAAATAGACACAAACATACCTAGGGGTAAAAGGACATGGTGTTTGCAGTTTACTCATGGTGCAGAAATAGAAATACATGTACACATGTGTACTTGCAAACACACATTCCATACACACACAGAGAATGCTAAAGCTTAAGTGATAAAAAGCTAAAAATTACCTTCATGTGTACTTGAAAGTTCATGTTGACTCAGTTTTACCAGCTGGGTGATAAACATGTCCTCATTACAGCACACCGATTCTTTAGTTTGGTCAGGCTTTTCAGTGACTTTCTGAGAGGCCTTTTCTTCCCACTGAAGGCACAGTCTTCAGGGGTTTAGCCATTTGCATAAATTTGTCTTTCCCTTCAACGTTCAAGAAAACAAAAGCTGAAATGACAAGCATTGGAATTGATGTAGCAGTTAATACACGTAATCTCAAAGCACAGCTGGGACCTCCAGTGCAGCTTGGGCAAAGTCAACAGCCTCCCCAGTACAGGAGGACCTTGGGCAGGCTGGGTGGCTAAGTGTGGACAGGGCACACAGAGGCAAAGTTGCTTCATTTACCTTACTATGAGTTGTCACTGGAAACAGATTTCCAGACACACTGCTAAAAAGTCATTTTACTTTAAAAGACATACAACTTCCAGAGATGAAAAGGGTTCACAGTGCAGTGGGAGTATGATTCCTGTTGGAAAACAATGTGAACAAAGAGCAAGCTGTTGCCAAGTGTCAGGAAAAATGCAGAAGAAAATAGACATCAGTTGATTAAACCTCTGGAAGAGGGAACACTGTAAGCTTAACGTTGAGAGAGAAAATACAGAAAAACTAAGAAGTATAAGTTGGGTAAACTACAATTCAAATTTTGTACATAAAATACTAAAAATAAACAATACAACTTTAGAAATAGTCAGAGGGGCTGGGGATGTATGTCAGTGGTACAGCACCGTGTGTGAGGCTCTGGGTTTCATCCCCAGCAGCAAAAAAAAATCGCAACAGATGCAACAGAAGATTAATGTTTGTAACATGCTAAGAACCCACTGGGATGATTGGTGCAGAGGATAGGAATGGTGAAGTAACAAGAACCAGAAACGGTCAGATCATCCACACACAGCAGAGTAAACACAGTCTGGCCATATGCGTGGAAGCTGGTGAGAAAATTCATATTTAGTAAACCCATTTCCAGAAAATCAGCGTGGGGAACTAACAGCAAAAAGAGCTTCAGTCAAGATTGTCACTCAACAATTTTTTTATTTTTTATTTTTTTGGAACTTAGGATGAAACCCTGGGCCTCTTGCGTATGTCAGGCCAGTGTACGACCACTGAGTCCCCAGTCCTAAACAAGTATTTTTAAAACACTTCCTGCTTGTAAGACCTTGCTTCAGTGTCAAGGGCTATGGTGGCAAATGAGAGCAACAGATAGGGCCTCGTGAAGCCTGTGGTCAAGCAGGGAAGGGCCAACATGAAGCATTTCAGTACACATGGATTCTTTTCATACAGTTGGAGAAGTAAGAAGGGGAAGTGATTAGCACTGTGTTGTTAGTTTCAATGAATAAGGGACATTGCAGGCTGTGTCAGCTGATCATGGAGAAGGCAAGGTGCTGGTCAGACGTTGAGGATGTTGAGTGTAACCTGTGAAGATGCTTCTGATTAGCGTTAATATAAAACGGGTCTGGGGGGTGTTGAAGAGAAGACAGAAAACGTCAGCATGCTCGCTCATAAATAGTTATGTTAGGTGATGGGTCTTCGCTACTTTTTTCTCAAGTCTTGATGAAAGCTTACTGCTTCCATAGTGAAGCTGGTCGTAAAGCTGCATACCACCTGCACAAGCCGTGAGACACTGAGGCTGCTCAGAGAAGCAGCAGTGCTCCCCACACCCACAGTATGCTCTTGAGGCCACAGCTGCTGCCAAGGCCTACTTTGGCCTCTGGGTGTCACCTGGCCGGCACCCCTGGGGACTCTGACTGTGTTCCGCCTTGCCCTCCTTTAGCGGCCAGATTCTGTGCTGATGAGAAAGCTGCATTCTCCTGAGGAGGTTGGTGTGCCCACGTCCAGGAACAGCTCCACGCTAGGCTTGAAGTCACAGAACGGATATGTTCCTTCCAAACCATCCTTGGGGTCCCCTTCCCCCAGACTTGCCCTGACACCCACGCATATGCCAGCACTCCTGGACGAGCCAGGAAGGAAGGTGAAGAAGCCGGCGGCCCCACAGCCCTCCTCCCCAGCCCTCCGGACTCCTCAGGGCTCACCTGGTGCCAGTGAATCTGGGAGCCGGCGGCAGGGCTCCTGGGACAGCAAGGACACTGTCCTCTCTACCTCACCGAAGCCAACAGCCCAGGCCACTGCCAATGGGCAAGGGCCAAAGGGGGAAGACGAAAGCGTGGACCCAGAGAAGGGGGCTTCCAGCAGCTCCAGCCCAGAGCACTCTGCCAGCAGCGGCCCGCAGGCCTCCCAGAGTGGAGCCGTCAGTTACCGCGATTCTCAGGGAACAGACTGTCCCGCCGCTGGCCACACCAAAGCGCTGCCAAGGGGCACAGAGTCTAAGATGATGAAGCTGAAGTCCCCTGCCCTGGGCAGCAGCACCACCGCCACCACCGAGCCTGCAAGCTTCCTGTCTCCTCCGCCAGCCAAGAAGCTGGCTCTCTCTGCCAAGAAGGTGGGTTTGTGGGGGTCTCAGTAGAGAGCTAATGGAGGCGCGGGAGGGGTGGGTGGAGGGCTTTTGCCCCCTTATTCCAGCAGAGCAAGGGGCCTTTTGGCATTCCTGGCAATTTGGAAGTGACAAAAGAGCTATCCTGGGGTGAAGGTGGAAGGGTTTTGAGGGAATGCCAATTAGGAGTAGCCGACACCTCTCATGGCTCCAAGAGTCAGGGCCAGGCAGTCCCACTTTTTTGTAGCTGGACTTTTCTAATTAGCCACAGGCAGAGAGTGGGGCAGCCAGGACATCTGTGGTGAGCAGGGACGGGAGTTTGCCCCACTAGGACTCTGGTGTAGAGGCTCTGGAGCTGGGGGCCCCTCTGCGTGGCTGGGAGCTTGGGGGCAGTGACCCAGTGTGGCAGTTGTGCTGAGATTTTTGTTTAAATGTCCTCCTTTTTCCTTTTTGTTTCTAACCAACAACATTCTTCTGATTCTTCTTCTGCCATCCCCTCCCCCTGCCTCCCCCTTTTTTCTCCTCTGTCCTCTCATCCTTCTTTCTGGGCTTTTTGTTTTGTTTTGTTTTTATTTATTTTTATTTTGTTTTTATTTTCCCTCTTCACTCACGGAAACCTTTTTTAGACCACCAAGTTTTTATTTATGTCAATAACTGCAGGCCAGCACCCTGCGGAGGGCGACCAGCAATGACCTCCGTTCACCTCCCCCTTCACCATTCTCCGACCTCACCTACCCCATGAAAACCACTCACCCCGTCGTTGCCTCCACTTGGCCTGTCAGTAAAACCAGGTGAGCTTGGGGTGCAGGTCCTGGGGCCAACTTGGTAATGTGTGTTTGGCTGGTGAAGAGCCATGGGGCAAGGAGGACAGAGGCCACCTCCCGTCTGTCTGTTCCTGTCTGGGAAAGGAACTCCATTCGCTCAGAGGCAGTTCAGTCTTCGCCATCCTGATTTTTTGTTTTTGTTTTTATTTCTCATCTGTCTACCACGTGCATGTCATGATCTGGAGGCCAGGAGGCTCTCGCTAGCCCCAGGACAACACTCCATAAGGAAAGAAAAGGCCTTACGTGAGCTCAGTAGCTTCTGAAGCCCTTCTGGCTGCTGTGTCTGTGTGGGTCGTGTCCAGGGTTGTGTGGTGGTCTCCTTAGCCTTGCAGAGCATCCCACTGGCCTTCTGTCTGTTAGCTGCATGCTGGCCTCTGGAGAAGGGCACCGCCTTTCTGTGGGAGCTTTTTCAGCTCATCTGTAGATGTTCTTGAGGATTTGGTCCTTCCCACCCAGTGAGACACTGCCACAGGGTACTCACATGCTATAGGTATCTTAGCTGGCAGACTTGAGAGTCACTGACGAGTGGCCAGTGGAAACATGAACGTCCTTGACAGCTGGGGAGGGGTGAATCAAAGAAAGGGCACTTGTGAGGGGTGGGGAGCATGCCCTCGATTCTGTTCTCAGTGCACAAGTCAGCCTTTCCCATCACCCTATGAGGGCAGCGTCAGTGCGTTCCTCCCCAGCACTCAGCCTCTGCCACTGCCACACCCCCCCAACCACCATCCCTGCACACCATCCCTGCACACGGCCCTGCCCTAGCATGGTACTGTTGCATGTGGTAGATCCTTAAGCATTGAGGCATTTATCGAGTATTTTTCTTTCTTTCTTTTCTTTAAAACTCACTTAGAGTGAGGTGACATAGTAGAAGTGGCCACTGTAATCTCTGGTTTAGATATTGACAGTCTCTTGGAATTCAGGAAGATTTTGAGGCCAGCAGCATCACCTCTCATGGCGGGAGAACACGTTTTCACACTATTTCAGAAAGGGATTCTGCTCTCATGGGCACATGGCTGGCAAGAGGCAGGTCAGACACACCTGATGTGGCTCTCAGTCCCACCCTTTATGCATCTCACAGATGATTTGGCACTACAAATCGGTTCCCAATTTTCCTGGTCCCCAGATTCTGAGAAGCATAACCACAAAAGATGCTGGACCTGCACTTGCCTTTCCTGGAAGGCTGTGTCCTTCAGGGGAATGCTCAGCTGTGTCTGTTGGAGATCGGAAGATAAACGTGGACAGTTTTCTTTTTTTCTGACCATTTATTGCTTAGTGATGCTTTCCTTCTTAACACGTTTTAATTGGAAACTAAAAACATCAGAGTTTGTAGAAATACTTTGAACTGCTTGGTGTCTACAAACCGAGACATAAAGTTCTTGTTAACTTTTATGTTAAGTAGACTTTCAACTTTATTAAAACGTACATGTAATGTCTGTGTGTCTAAGGAAAAAAAAAACGCTTTTAAAATTCTTAGGTAAAAGGGGAGATAAGGTGAGAGTGGGCAGAAAGAAGAGCTGCACATGGATCCTCTAGAATGACCTTCCTGTTACTCATTGCTCCTACAGGGCCGTGTCACCTGCTCCCCACTCATCTCACCTTCTGAAGCTTCCCGTCATCCCCCCTTCCACAGTATTGTCCAGTAGAAGCTCCCAGCCCCAAGGGATATCAGAGCCACAGGTCTGCTCCCCTGCCTGGACTGCCCTGCCTCAGGTCACCGGGGACTTAATGTCCCTTTCACACCAGCTGCTGGAGGACAGCAAGGACCCTCAGAGCCCCTCCAGGAAGAGGAAGAAGACTTTCATGGGAGAGTCGCGGAGTCTGGGCTCAGAGGCACGCCTTCCACAGTGCCTTGGGGGGGCAGCAGAAGCACCTCGCAAGAAGAGGAAAAGGAAGAAAAGGAAGTGCCTGGAGGATGTGGCTGGGGCCACTGTACAGGAGGTCCAGACACAGGGGCAGCCTTGGAGCCCCAAGAGCAGGACAAAGGGCCAGGCAGAGCTGCCAGCCTACCCAGGGAAGGAAGAGGGCACCCAGCTGCAAGTAAATGGCCGTCCAGTGGGTCATGTCCTGGATGGCCACCTTGTGAGTGGCAGGAAGAGGAGGAGGACGGGAGTGGAAGGACTCACAAAAGAAGTTGGTCCCCCTCAGGACCCACCTCGGCACAGGTAAGGGCAGGGCTGAGGTGTGCCTGTGTCCCCCATCAGGAGAGCAGAAACGATGGGTCCAGGTGTGGGCCAGTTGGAGAGGCAGCTGCTGATCAGGACTTCTGAGAGTGAGCTCCTGCTGCGAGCACCAGCAGCTGTCAGTTTCTCACACTGACAGGGCACGGCTGTGGCCTGCATGGCCATCACTGTGTACAGGGTGGTCCAGGGACATGGCCAGGTCAGGTTATGTGGCTAGATGGGTCACAGCAGCCAGTACACACATGTAGGACTTGTCCCAGTGAATTGAGGGTCACTACATGGTGGGCCTCTAGCATCATGCTAGGAGGGTATAGGCAGCAAGCCTTGCACACTTCAAGCACTTTGCTAAGCTTAGGGTAGAGTGAATGACATTACAGCCAACAGCTGCCCCAGGCTGTCCTCAGTCACGTTGTGTTGGAGTTTTCTGCAGTTAATGGAGATGGCTTGGGGTAAGCACCTGCTCTTACCTATGGTGTGCTCTGAGGGCTGACTGTGTCCTCTCACTCCCAGCAGCTGCTCCCCAGCAGACCACAGTGAGCACGAGATCAGAGCAGAGTCTGTGAAGAAAAAGAAAAGGAGGAAAAGAAAACACGATGTACGGCAGGAGGAAGAAGAAAATGAACGTCCGGAAGGCCAGAGGAGCCCTAGGCCCAGTGTTGCTGTAGTCCCTGAGTTGAGCCTCAGTGGTCAGCTTCCTGGGGACCACCTAGGTGAGGGCATGGGGTGTGTGGGAGGTTGCTGTTGGCAGCAGTGCTGGTGACACTTGACTGTCCTTTACTGCGAGCCATTCCCAAACACTAGTATGTGTTAGTCAGCATCCTAGCACTATAACAAACACCTGAAAGAATCAGCTTACAAAGGGAAAAGGAGTGTTGTGGTTCACAGTTTCGGAGGTTCCAGTTCAAGGTCTGTTTGCCTCTGCTTTGGGCCTGTTGCAGGACAACACTTCATGACAGGAGCACATGGTGTAGAAAGCTACTCACCTCACAGCCAGGAAACCAAAGAGGCGAGACCGAGGTCCTACCACCCTCTTTGGAGTCACACCCTCAATAGCCTGAATGTCACTTTTTAAAGATTCCACCACCTCCCAGTACTGCCTCCAAAACATGGGTCTTTGGGGATCATTTAGGATCCAGACTGTAGCAGGCCACTTTCCATTTAGAGATGGTCTCCCCCCTCCATCAGACCAAGGACCTACACTGCTGGTTGTGGGGGGTTGTTTTCTGGCTTTTTGTTGTTTTCCATTTTCTTCTTTCAAGAATTGGCCAGGACAGCTCCTTTTTGCTTGGGCAAAATCGTTGCAAGTAAGTTAAGTGTTTCAGTGTTAGTACGCCAGCATTTGTGGTAAGGGGCGTGTGATTGCTTCCTATGCTTCATTGTAAACATATATAAACATCTCTTGGCTATTCTGATTGCAGGGCTGGGACAGGCTCCTCTCGTACCCTGGAACAGAGAACGAGAATCCGATGTGGTCCAGGAATTGCTCAAATACTCATCCGATAAGGCTTATGGAAGAAAGGGTACGTCCTGAGTCAGGGCTAGTGAGTCCCGTGGACTGGCTTACTTTTGAGAGAGAGGAGAAAGGAGTCCTGGTGTAGCATGAGCAGGGTGGGCAGGCACTGTCCATCCTTAAAAACAAGAAGATAATCTAACCATTTGTTGTCCTCTATAACCCCCACCGGCCATGGCATGAAGATGGGTTATGTCCATGGAGGATGATCACAACAGCCCAGGAATAGGACAGAGTGGAGCACCCACTGCTGGGTTACCCCAGAAGAATGGCAGGGCCTGGGTCAGGAGGGGCAGGGTGAAAAGTCTCCCTGATGCTGAATTGGTGCTTCTAACTTGGAACCTTGCTTTATAAGTCAGACTTTAAAAATGAATACAAGACCCTTTATCTCAATGAAAGCATGGGTTTAAAGAGAAGTGAGGAGGTGGTGCCAGTAGCTCACACCTGTAATCCTGGTGGAGATCAAGAGGATTGCAGTTTGAAGCTAGCAAAAATAAAAAATGGGGCGGTGAGGCGGGAGGTGGAACAACCCCATCTCAGAAATACCCAACACAAGAAAAGTGTGCTCAAGTGTTAGAGCATGTGCCTCACAAGAGTGAGGCCCTGAGTTTAAACCCCAGAATCACCAAAATAAGCAAACAAAAGAGATTTATAGTTGCTGACATGGATTTTAACAGTCATTTGATAGCTTCCACATTGGCCATTGCACATGTGGGTCACTCCATTCTCCCCTTCCCTCTTTGCATGTTCATTTCTGCTAAAAGGCAGCCCTGAGAAACTTGGAATAAACGGAGTAGACAATTCTAGATGTCAAGTGAATCGTGGAGTAAATCCACGGGGTGGCAGGGAACCCACAGGCTGCTGACCCTAGGTGTGTGTTACGCAGTTTTGACCTGGGACGGTGAGCTGTCCGCGGTCAGTCGGGATGCAATTGAAGACAGCAGATTGGCCCGGACCCAGACTGTGATTGACGAATGGGATGAAGAGTTTGATCGAGGGAAGGTATGGCGTGTGTCTGTGATTGTGGGCGTGCTGCTGTGACTCAGCTCAGACTGAGGGCAGGGGCAGTATGAACTTGGAGAGTAGTTTGAAGTGGCACAGAGCAGCAGTGATGAGGCTGGAGCCAGCCTCCCAGGTTCCTGCCCTAACTCAGCCACTTTTCTTAGTGTGGGCATCTAGAGGGCATGGCAGGGCCTCCCACGAGTACTGTTGCCTGTAGCATGAGCATGGCACCTGCAGCCAGGACGCACAGTGTGTATGTGCAGTCGGGAGCCAGCAGTGCTTTGCGGGGGCCCTTCTGGAATTGTGACACCTGATTTCTATATAGGAAAAGAAAGTGAAAAAACTCAAGCGAGAGAAGAAGAGAAACTTCAATGCCTTCCAGAAGCTTCAGAGTAGATGGAACTTTTGGTCTGTGACTCATCCAGCTAAGGCCACCAGCCTCAGCTATCGCCGCTGAGCTTGCTGCTGTCGAAATGGGTCAGTCTAGACTTTGTGTCTGTTTTGTGTGGTGTATGGCGTGTCTGTCTATGGTATATGTGCCTTTAGTGTGTCTGGTGTGTGTGTCCATCTGTGGTCTGTGGCGTGTGGTGTGTACGAGTCACTTGAAGGAAAAACTGGTATTTTCCAGATCCCACAAGATGCCATGCACTGGTATCCTACGTGGGACTCATCTGAGGGTGGCTGTGAGAATGTCAGGGTCTCTTCTCATCAGGAGGACCAATGTGCCTGTCTCCCAGCCTCCTGGAGCCGTCACGTCCTGGCAACTGTTGTCTGGATCTGAGGACTGGTCTGTGCTGCCTTGTCACCTCTGGTCGCCACACTGTGAGCCTGCCATGGTGGGGGTTCCCAGTCCCCAGGTGACCCAACAAGGCCTTGGGGTTTCTGCAGCAAGGCTCTCTGGTGACATTCACAACCAACCCCAGGAGAAACTCTGGAACATGGTGTTGAACAGCTAGCCGCAGCCTGCAGGACATCTGGAAGGAGCGAGCCTCCTCATCACGGTCATGAGTGGTGGATGGGTGGGCAGAGCTGCCTGCCCTGGTCTGGCGCTGTCAGAGAGCAGGGGATGGGGCCAGCAGCTCTAAGTGAGTCCTACACTCAGGTGACGTGCATGTGGTTGGTGGCTCTTCCTCGCGAGCCATCCTGCGCTCCCTGGGGCTGACGCTGTCTTGTCCTGCGCCCTGCCCTTCCCATGCCTTCCCCTTGGTGGGGCCTGTGTCATCAAAAAAAGGAAGGGCCCCGTCCTGCCTGTGCTGCCACCTCATCCGGTGCATCTCCTCCAGAGAGCTCCAGGTGTCCAGAGAGCAAAGGCTGCTTGGGGTGGGGAGCCCTTGCAATCGCGTGCCAGTGCCCCGCCATGGTGGCTGCTAGCTATCCCGTGACTTTGCCGTAGCTTCCGTCATAGCTGCAATAACCCACGGGTCTGTGGAGGTTATCTTGGGGTGATTCTCCGTTATTTTATTACTTAATATGAGTCATTTATTTTTGCCCAGGCCTGTGGCTTCCAGTAGCAATATGCTTCCCTAATATGCAAAGACTGGCTTTGTTTGCTCAATTCTGTGAGTGCTTTTGAATGGAGATGATTGTATGACTCAAGAAGAGTCCTTTTTTATCTTGCTCATGCTGTGCCTGCAGACTTAGACTTTATTACACACGACTCCTTGGTGACTGTGGTATTTCCAAGGGGAGACTGGGCCCTCCTCGTAGTAGAAGGCATAGAAGTCCAGCAAAGGTCTTCCTCACGGGGCGCACCTCCTGTCTTCCCTGGTGCCCTGGGGCTCTCCCAGCCTCGGCCTCCCTGGGGTCTCACTCCTGCCCTCTCGGTACCCTCTTCCTTGTTGCTCTGCTGCCCTGCTCAGGCCTCCCTTGGTACTGGTGTGGGAAGAGGAGCCTCTGTCTTTGTATGGGGCGGTGCATTTAGTTTCTCTTGTGGGAGGTGGTTTTCGGTTCTCCTTCCTGTTTTTATGTTTCCCTTTTTAAAAAAGGTGGAAAGGAATAGTGATACCACTGGCCTGGTGTATTAGCTGCTCCTCGCAGCAGAGCATGAGTGGGGACTTCATACGGACTGGTTTCTGAGTGGCCTGGTGTGCTGTGCAGAAGCTTGGCGACCCCATCCTGGGAGGGAAGCAGGCACCTTCCTGGGCAGGGTTTTTCTTTTCCTTTTGAGGTATTGACAGTTGTTCTTGTTTCCTGGCCATGCTTTTTCAGGTGTCTGTCATTGAAATGTCAGTTGTCTGCTAGCACAAAATTGACCTTCCTTTCTCTCCCTTTTTGCTCCAAACCGGCCTCTTCCTGTCTCCACTAGTTACACAATGAAAACCTTTTCCGGGGAGAATGCATTCTTTTTCTCTTGGGTGGTGGTCAGCCCTGGCCTGACTTCCAACCGCCTTCACTGCTATTGGGTAGAGGCAGGTCCTTTCCTTCTGCAGAAAACCATCGGCCAAACCAGGCATTGGACAGAGTAAGGCCCAGAAAATTGCCTGACTTCCAGGTGACATGTACATATATAAATACATATATACATAAGTAACTGAAGCTTCTCTAATATCAGTCATCTTGCTGGTCAGAACCTGGTTTTAACTTGGCACTTGACAGTGGAGGTGATCTGGGCCCATGTGTAGTGGGCTGCCTCCCTTAGTGTTCTGTGTCATCTCGCTCACCCGCTGTTGTTAGCAGCTGCTCTCACGCCATGTCTGGTTGGGTGGCCACACCTGTGTGTGTGCAGGGGTCCCGGGCCTCTGCACTTTCTCTTCAGGGGCCCAGGGAGCCCCAGGTGTTGCCAAGATTTTGGTGCAATAAAATGTTCTTGGGTGTCCTTTCTGTGTCTTTGTCTTTTTCCTTTGATTTTTGCAAAGGTGCATTCCAGCAAATTCCCAGTCTGTTTCCCCAGGTCAGTGGAAGGTTACCTGTGTTGGCTCTCAGATCACCAGCCACACTAGGAGATAAGCACCTGTGGTCCCAGCTACACCGGAGGCAGAGGCAGAAGGATCGCCTGAATCCTGGAGTTCTGTGCCAACCTGGCCAACACAGAGAGATACCTTTTCAAAAATAATAATAATAATAATAAAGGGATTTAAATTTATTTAATAAATATACTTATTTAAATTTGAGAATAAAGATGAATCTTTGGAGTGGCTCAGTAAACTTGGTGGGTGATTTTAAGTGAATAAGGAGACTCAGAAACAATGTTCCACTGAGGTTTCTTTTGTTTGTTTTGCTGAATAATGCTTGGATTTCTTCAGGGAAAGGTGAAGAAAAAGATTTTGCTTACTTACGAGCTTTTTCTCACCGTGTACAGGTTTGCCTGTACACGAGTGGGTGGGGTGATACAGTCAGTGCCAGTGCAGTCCCTTCTGACCCAGCTACAGCCCAATGTCCCAGCTGCTTCCCCAGCTACCAGGCGGAGGCGTGATGAGGAGACTCGTGTTTGTGTGGTGTAGGGTTCTCTCTTGACACAGGAATTTGACTTGAGCTCCTATGGAAATCTCTGGTCCTGAATGCCTGCCCCAGGCACAGCAGCTCTGCTGTTCAGGGCATCTGCCCTGGAAGCTGAGAACAGGCTGGACAGGCAGGTTCCTGCAGGGGAGCCTGTGACCAGGATGCATTTGGCAAGAGCAGCCCCAATGAATGAGTGTCCCAGCGCTGAACAGATCTTGGGGCAGAGGAGGGTCTGGTCTCGGGTTCTCTTGTGAGCACTGCACAGCAGCTTCATCCTGGCTTCTGAAAACTTGGCACCCAAAGGCTTCTGTCAAACACAGGGAGTCTTGTCTTTGCCCCAGTAACCTCAGAGGTTTGACCAGACAACTCAAAATCAGAACAGGAAAGTGAGCAGGGCTGTAGCTGGACCCCAGCCAGAGGAGGTGCTTGCTGGTGGCGGGGAGCTTGGAGGCCTTTCTGAGCAAAGCAGCTTGGCTGTATCTATAGGAGTTCCCAGGCAGTCCAACACACTCAAGGGGCTGGGGACACAGTTCTTTTGATGTCTTCCCAACCCTGTTGGTTCTGGTACACTTGCGCTGAACAGGGTACCTCGTGGGCAATGTGTGGTCTCACAACAGGGCTGGGGGTTCCAGCATGCAGTGGGTACTGGGAGGACTCATGGGGCCGTGAAGAGCGTGTGGCCAGTTCTGCCTGAAGTGCCTCAGGAGAGTGTTAATGGTGGGGTGGGGGGGTCAGCCGCGGCTCCTGGGACCACCTCAGGCAGTGATAAAGCTAAAAAGCACCCGTATGCAGTGGTTAGTCATCTAGGCACAAAGGAAGGACTGATACTGTCTGAATCACTTGTCAGACACCTGAATTGTGTGGTGGCCTGAAAATAGGTAGAGGGCACAGGGTGGCCAGTCCTGTTGGCAGCCAAGAAGAGTCTCAGCCCAGAGCTCAAGAGGTGGCAGCAGCAATGGTTTAGAGTTGGATCAGGGTATTTTAGGAGGTAGAATCGAGAGAAGAGAAGACAAGGTGAAAGGTTCTGGGTAGGGGTTAAGATCTGGTTGGGAGAGTCAGGTGGCAGTGGCTGACACCTGTAATCCTAGCTACTCGAGGCAGAGATCAGGAGGATCTTGGTTCGAAGCCAGCCTGGGTCTAGTTCCACGAGACCCTATCTCAAAAAACCCTTCACAAAAATAGGGCTGGTGGAGTGGCTCAAGGTAAAGGCCCTGAGTAGTAGCCAAGGAGTAGGTGGCTGCCCATTGGCTGCAGGAATGTCTTCGGTGGGTGACAGATTCATCCTGACACAACTGTGATATTGGCATGTTAGAACAGGGGACACGGAGAATCACAGGCATGGAGCAGGCAGTAGGTGAGCGGAGGCTTCGCATTTAGACAGCGTCCAGGTATCTGGACACCAGGTGGGCCTTCATTTATAAGCTCCAGACAAACTGAGCGTGTGACCTCCAGCCAGTGCAGTGCTGGGCGGTGTGGTGAGAATCTGGGGAGAGTTGGACAACCTCAGCTTAGAGGAGGACACGGGTAACATGACAGGCACCTCCTGTCCCATTCTCAGGGTTTTGCCAGGGTTTTCCCCCTTAGGGCCTGTGTGTCTCCAACTCTTAGAGAATGATTCTTAATAATTTCTGTAACAATCCCTACCTCCCAAGTGAAGCCTGGGAAAGCATGCTGCTGTTCTCCCTCTGCCTCCTTGTCCTGCACTCCCCCAACAGTACACTTCCCAGTGAAGTCACCCAGTACTCAGGCAAGTGGATGGGGCTTGGACCAACAGCACTATGAAGTTTCCACTCTAAGCTGCTGTTCTGGGCCTATCTCACACTCTGAGCACCAGAGCCCCCAGGGGGTTTCTAGGGGCCAGGTTTCCATCCATGACATCCTGACTACTTTCTGATTATGGGCATTTCTCCCAAGTCCCCAGGGCTGTTGCTAGGTTGCCCAGCTCATACTCAGACCCAATGTCTCAGTCCAATGACTCTCCAGTACCATGGATGGAGGTGGGGGAGTCATGTGTGAAGAGGCAGGCACGATTGCTTTCAACTCCATGTGTCGGGTGGGGGGTGCTGCTGTAGACAGCAGCCATGGGAAGGGGCACCCCTCTTTGGAAGGCTAGGCCCCCACTCTGATCTTCCACTCAGGGTGGGGGTCTTGATTCCTGCATTGTCCTGCCTGCCTCCTGGATCTCACTCTCCCTTCTCTTAGGAACACACTAGAGTGCCCCCTATCCTAGAAAACCCTTGTCTCTGTGTGCCCCCCGAGCTACGCTGGCTCTCAAATGAAGTGTTAGTTTGCTGTCCGTGTTCTCTCTCCATAGATCTGGCTTCTGCCCTTGTCACTCCATTCATTGACCTGATTCCCCAACCTGATGGGCGTTTGCCAATGGGCTTCCTCCCAGGATCTGCCATTGCTGACCCTTCCCAGAGCTGCTCTTATTTTTTTTTTCATTTTTCTTTTATTATTCATATGTGCATACAAGGCTTGGTTCATTTCTCCCCCCTGCCCCCACCCCCTCCCTTACCACCCACTCCACCCCCTCCCGCTCCCCCTTCCTCAATACCCAGCAGAAACTATTTTGTACTTATTTCTAATTTTGTTGTAGAGAGAGTATAAGCAATAATAGGAAGGAACAAGGGTTTTTGCTGGTTGAGATAAGGATAGCTATACAGGGCATTGACTCACATTGATTTCCTGTGCGTGGGTGTTACCTTCTAGGTTAATTCTTTTTGATCTCACCTTTTCTCTAGTTCCTGGTCCCCTTTTCCTATTGGCCTCAGTTGCTTTAAGGTATCTGCTTTAGTTTCTCTGCATTAAGGACAACAAATGCTAGCTAGTTTTTTAGGTGTCTTACCTATCCTCACCCCTCCCTTGTGTGCCCAGAGCTGCTCTTAATCTGCTGCCCATGGCACAAAACCTGTGTGCCCTGTCCAGATCCCACATCACACCCTCCTCTCCTGGATATCCTGCTGGCAGGTTCCTGGCCAGGCTGAGTGCAGTGTTGATCTCTGACCTGTGTTCCCTGCCATAGATGGGGCCTCAGTTCCTGGCACCACAGCTTGAATTTGGGAAGAAGCTTGGAGCTGCCTCAGTGCCTCCTGTGCACATCTGCATTGAAAGTCTGACCTTTCCACTACCTGTCCTGAAATGCCTTCCCTCTTCTGTCCCTCCTTCCCATTCAGCCTGGGTGCCTGTCATTCTTCTGGACTCAAATAGTCTTCCAACCAGTTCTCCAACTTTCATCTTCCTGCTTCCCTTTTCCCTGACTGGCTCTTAAGAAACCTTGAATGAGGACTTGGAGGAGTGACTCAAGTGGTAGAGCGCCTGCCTAGCAAGTATGGGGCCCTGAGTTCAACCCCCAACACCAAAAGAAATCTTGACTGACATAAGTTTTCCTGCCCAAGGGATGATAATCAGGTGTCACTTCTGGCTCTCAGCCCTGCATACAACCCCTGAGACCCTGGACCCAACTCCATGTCCTGAAGGAGGTTCACCTCTGCCGGCTGTCTGAGATAAGGGCATACTTACACCCAGCAGACTCTGACCCCAGGCGTGGCTTAGGTTGGCTGCTTTCTCAAAGACAACTGTTGCATGTGGTTCCTGCTTTGCAATGATTGAAGTCAGGTCACCTAGAAGTGAGATTTTTAATCAGGACTTGCTATCGGAAAAAAGGCCGGGCTGAGGAACCAGACCTGGGTTCTAACAGGGTCTTCCAGAGTCAGCATCACAAATTTGGGTCAGTTGCATCATCTGCGTGTGCTTTTTTCTCTAAAATGCAGAGGTTAGAATGATGTCATGTGTCTATGGGTTGCCACACTGTCTCGCATGGTTGTCTCCATTTGTTTTCTCCCTGCCTGTTTCATTTAGGAGGGTGGTGATTAGAAGGCAGTGGTAGGGCTCAGCTGCTAAATGCCCATGATGTGTTGTGAGAGAAACGTCACAAATCGCCATCCCTCAAGTAGGTTCTGGGTATTGAGGTGGCTTCTTAATGTGGTTGGGTCACATTTGAACCCAGAGTCTAAATACATGGCAAATACTTACTGTGAAATGTGCTTAGGGAATTTTTCTTACACAATGACTGTCAAGGCTGTGTTTTTAAATGAGTTCAGGTCTTCATCCCATGCCAAACATGGCTTTTGCTCTGGTGATGTTAGAGACAGCTCCCTTCATGTACTTCCCCCTCCCCATTTTAAATGTACTGTTCTGCCTCCTTGTACTGTGGTTTTCTGTCTTGCACTGCTATAGTTAAATAGTGCTTGTTGGCAGGGTCCAGGGTCATTGTCTTCCTCCAGGGCCTTGCACTGGCCAGCTACCCAATAAATATTTGTTGAACAAGTGAACTGGAAAAGCTAGTGGAGGAAGCCTGGTTGTGACCAGGCATTTGGACTCTGCTTAGAAAACAGCCAGCCCATTCCCCCATCAAAGCCATGAGCTCAGCAATCTCTTCCACCTGTCAGGCTTTACACTGCCATCTCTGAGCCACGCGCCCCTTTGTCTTTTTCATGTGTGAAAACATTTTGGTGAAGTTCAGCAGGAACCAGAGCATTAATTCCTCTATTTGAAGTGAATGCCTGAACCATGGCACAGAGCCAGCAGCTTCCTGGGTGGCACCAGAACAGTTGGTGACAGCTGGATACAATCAAGTTCCATTACAAACACATCTTAAGTGCCATTCAC